AAAATGTCCGGATCCACTGGATCCACGAATACCGATTAGGGTTAAAAAGATATTACAACATAATTTATTAAATCAGATAAAAATGTCATGTGATATATTAAGCACAGAATGAATTTCTCCTCTGGTTTTCTTATATCAAGGGTAATGGTCGATTTTCTTATTGAAAAATCACTGTTAAGTGTAAAAGTACGTGTTACTTAATTTTTATGGCAATGGGATGAAGTATACAATTCTTATGCACGAAATTCTGCAATTCATATTTCAATATAATTTACATCGTGTGTGTTTCTCTTTATCGGAGGACTATGTGTCTATAAAACTACAGAAACATACATCACACCGTACAACATCACATATAATGACTAAAAGTAAGAAAAAAAAATAAGATTAAGCAGTATAGGTATCACAATCGTTTTTATACTGTTATTAAGCAGATAGCTTTTTCACAAAATTAACAGGAAAAACGTAAAGTGTACTAGAGCATTAACTGATGTAACTAAAATGCCTTGTGACGAATTAAACAAAAACTTTATAGAGAGAATTTTGTTATATCACGAATAGTCATAGAATTTCTTATTAAGTCTAAAAGGAAAAAGACAGACGAGCATAAGTTATGCGAGGCTTATCTTCCGACGAGATTTATTTTACGTATAGAGATAGATTCGTTTACAGGAATCTGCAATAAAAGAAAAAAAATAAACAAATCTCTTTCGTTTGCTAGTTGTCATGATGTGCATCTTGCAAGTTTGCATTTTTACCATCAGAACTTGTTCAACTTATACTTAAATATACAAACGATTATTATAATACATTTTTTATTAATCCTGTACATAATACGTGTTTCAGTATATTTATTGATAAAATCCTGTCCTATTATTCTTTATATAGATGACGGCGGTAATTTTTCTATCTTCGAATGCGCATCGTAGTTTACGGATTCTTGTGCGGAGAGCCTGTGTTCCTGATCATCATCGAAGCTAACATATGTTCCAATTCTTTTATTTTCGCTTTGTCCTTTTGATGTATCGCGTGTGTACACAAACCCACAGTTTGTAAGCGTTGGTTGAGAGTGATAGTGTCTTCGCAGGATTTCTGGAGATATCGATGCTCCTCTTTAAGTTTCGCGATTTTACTAAAAGATCAATGATGAATTATAACTATAAGATTAAATTCTGGTTTTATTATTAATGTTATCGTCGCAGAAAAAGCTATCGTAGAATCTGCCACTAAAATTTCATTCTGATTTAGATTAGAAATAAAGCCGCAAGTGTAAGATTAAATTTTAAAAAGGTTTATTTTTTACAGCTGGACTAGCGTACACTTTTTATACTTAAAGTGAAACAGTATATGTTTAAAATTTGACGAAAACGAGAAAGAAAATTCTAGTGCAGCGCAGCAATAAAAAACAAACCTTACGTATAATAATATTACAAATTCCTAAAACTTTTAAAGTGAATCTCGCTCTGAAAGGTGAGACCTCTTAAAGATTGAAAATTGAGCCACTCGTTTTCAAGACTGGCTCAATTTTCACTCTTTAGAATGAGAGGTCATTCTAAAAAATTTAAGATTGAGTATTTTATTTAACTGCTTCTAGTTCGAGTACAGCGAATATTCGATAGGCTTATTCACGACGAGGTCAAACGTACTGATCGATAGCGACGATAACGCGCGAATTCTCATATTCAAGCTTCTTTAAAGCTTGCTCCATTATTTTGTTGCTCATATCCCGCTGATGTAGCTTCTCTTCTAAGCTCCGAATTTTTATTTTACACTCAGCTTCGTGCGTCTTCGCGGCTGCGGCTTGACTCATCAGGGACTCGCATTGCTTCGTCATCACGTCATACTTGATTCGCAATTGAACACTCTCGACCTGATTTTTCGTTTGCTGTTGCTGAGATTCGTTCGCCACCTCCGTGATCGCTCTCAGACGCATCTTTAATTCGTGAGAAACTCTACGCTCTTTCTCCAGCTCCAACTCCGTACTGTATAAAGCGTGACGAGTTTCCAGTAGTTCCTTCTGCGTCGTCTGCAGGGTAATCTGTCCTCGAAATGTACTTCATAATATAGCTATATAATAATTAATTGAATAAACTACTACAAAAAGTTAGTATTTATTCCGTAACAGGAAAGATTTTTCTTCTTTAAAAAGATGAAATTCTTGTTTTAATATTATTACTCTGTTTGATTTGGAAAAGAGATTAAGAATCAGTTTCCGAGTTAGTTTTAAATTTAAAAGTAAAGAATTTTTATTTAAAAAATATTTTTTTTGAAAATTATAATTTTCATAAAGATAATTTTGCATAAGTGAATCCAATTAATTTAATCAATAATTAATTTAATTGAGTTTCTAATCAACATTATAATTATATCATAATTAATTATAAATAGTATCTATAATTTTACAATTAATATAATTATATAATTCGTCTTCTCTAATATCGTAATCTTTATTTTCACATATTAAACAAACAAAAAAAATTGATTATATCTATTATTTATAATATATAATAATATTAGTTCACATTGTATCGTAATAGTTTAGGGTGATTTCGTCCGAATCCCGATTAATTTAATTGAATTTGCAAAATTTTGACTGTATAATTTATCCCATTCTAGTCTTTTTCTTATGTATTAAAAAATCAAACAGTAATTATTTTATTCACGTTGGTAAACTAACTAGTATTTGTTAATCACGATTAATTAAGTTGAGTTCGATCGAAATCGCCTCTTAGGTCTCGCTCTAAATATTCTCTAAATATCCTGTAACATCTATATAATAAAATATTCTGTAATATCTATAAATCTCTGTGTATCATTATTGCTTCGTGTGTTAATTTAGGGCATGTTACAAGTGTATGCTGGGCGTAAAAGGGTTAAGTACGTTTCGAGTGTTAATCAATATAGTAAGTGGAATTATATTTTACCGTGTTGCTTTGTAACTCGTAAAATTGTTCACGAAATTGCCGTTCTAATTGGGAAAAATCCTGCACACTCGGCATGTTTTCATCATCCATAATTCGCGACGTAAGTACTCCCGCCTTGGAATAATTATTAAGCAATGCGGAATGTGCCTGAAATTATCAGCTTTAATTTTTGTTTTTTACGTTAGAGTTTTCAAATAGGAAAGACCCGGTAGATTGTTCAGTAAGGAATTTAATTTAAATAGTAAATTATATATGATGTGAGATGACTTGTACGTAAAATTTTATACGTTTTACTTTAATTAGTTTAATTTGCAATATATTTTCGTTCTGAAGTATAATAATTGTGTGTATTAGTTAACGTCGAATACGTCTGAAGTTCTCAGCTTTACTTGCTTTTACCTGCGATTATTTTCAAGGCGATTATTTATAGGAACGCAAATGGCGGGTTTTTAAACATGACAGTTATACTTTATTAATTATAATTAATGCTATATGTAATATTCATAAATGAAATGTAATATCCATAATTTAGAATATTTATTAATCCATTAATGAAACTTAGTATCAATGAATTTGTGAATTTGTTCCAAATACGTGATATTATTTGTTTAATTCCGACATGTGTCTATTATTCCATACATTTATCTTATTTTATTATTGTAATTATATATAAAATTATTAATAAAAAATCTGCTAATGTACATATAAAATACTTAATCTCATCTTGTTCTACATATTGCATTATTTTATTAAGCTCGTAAATCTTGGCTGTACTCGAGTTCGCATTCGTACTTTGCCGTTTTTATTTTTCGCACATAAAATACCTGAATAGTGTCTGAGCATCTCTCCATTTTTCATTCTCATGTACTGCTGCATTAACCTTTCCAAAAGAAACAGAAAGATAGGTCACAGATGCTTAAAACGAGAACAAAGTGATTCACAGAACTTCTCTCGTAATAACATCTATATAGAATCCTTCTACAGGGTGCTTCGTTTTATTTCTTACGTATTTTTACATTTATAAATGATAAAAAAATTAAAAAGAGCTCTCATTAAAATTTAATAGTTTTGATAATGGACAAATTGTATTTAATTTAATGAGCCAATTTTTATCATTTTTAATGCATTAAGTGCTATTTAATATTTACGAATAATTTTGAAGAATGACGACAATGCTTAAATGATATACTCGTATGATATGCACAAAAAATCTCTTACTAAAATTTAATACAATACTTTAATAGTAAACTTTTAATTGATACATGACGATTTACATTATAATATAAGAAATTTGTGTGACGAATCAATTGTCTCTACAGTTTTTAATGCAATCAAAGACTATATATTTGATACTTATGTGTGACTTTGAATAGCTAAATAATACTATCTCATAGCACACTTTACTGCAACAGACATTCTGGAAATGTCCTCAGAATGTTCAGAAGACGTGTCCTCTGGATGTCCCTTGGAGGTCTAGATAAGTATTACTATACTCAAAGAATTGGTAATATTTTAATAATAGAATTCTTTATTATACCGCTCTTTATTATATCGTTTATATTTTTTTATACATCGTTCATATTTCATGAAATATAGTCCTTAACAATTTTTATAAACCAATTAAACATATTGTTTAATATTTATGTCATTTTGATTGGTCATTTAACATTTCTTATTTATCGTTGAAATTTATCGTATGAACTTTACAATTTGGCGAACATTATCACCCAGTATGTTCGCCAGAATTACAGATGTGGCACGTAGAAATGGAGTTCTGGGGTTGAAAGCAATGACGATGTAAAGAGAGAGAGAGAGAGAGAGAGAGAGAGAGAGAGAGAGAGGGAGGGAGGGAGGGAGGGAAAGAGAAAGAACAGAGGGTGACCGCATGCGCATCCCTCGGAATAGCGAATCTTGGACCACCCCCGCCGATTATGGATGTTTAGTATCGACGTTGTTGCTGGCGTGTTGTCGCACGCTCCAGCATCCGATTGCAGGGTGTGATAATTGCGCCCGAGAGTGCGACGTGAGAGTATCCTACTGTTTTGTGCGAGATAATGAACGGAATCGAGAGACGGCAGTCGAGACCGATCGACGACGCGCGATCATGCGTCCGCCTCGCTACCACGCTGCGTTAGCGTCCCTCGTCGTCGTTAATCATGGTCCTGCGTGACCGCGATTTACCAGAACACCAGCAACATGCCGTGCGACGATCGTTCGGGAAGGACGCGTGCACGTGTCGCAGCGATAGCGACCACAACGTTGTTCCTGTTCACGTTGAATTTCAAGTGCATAGGTGCGTGCATGGCACACATGACGTTCCAGTGCGGATCTTGCAACCATAATTCGCTTTTAAAGAACGTCGTAATTGATAAGAAATATTTCTGAATAATAAATTAAAAAATAAATAGTATAACGAAGGATAGAATTTGTAAAATCTCTCGGATGTTTATATATAGGCGATGCAATTTATAGGAATCAACTTATGATTATATAATAATCTTGAATGAGATATCATATTTCTATATAAAAATTTTTGAGGAAAGATATTAATCGTATCTGTATTATTATCATTTAGTCGGAATACAATATTATGTGTCAATCTCTTCTCGCCATGCGTAGAAAAGATCCGCATAGATTTAAAAAATCGGCTTTTAAAAATTCCCAGAACTGTAGATTTTATTTATTTCTTTATAAATGTCGATCTTTAATACATTTTATTCTAAATAACTTTAATTCTATCTTTTGATATAGAAGATAAGCAATCTTTTCTATTTGTTAAACTTATATATAAGCTTATGTATACCATTTTATAATTTAAATAAGAATCTTTTCATTTTATTTTACAGTTAATTATTTAAAAAAAAAAAATTAATTTTACTTCTTAAGTTCCACTTCTTATAATTGAGTTTACCTCAATAAAAATTTAAATTAAAATTTGTTTATCCAGGTTTTAAATCGCCGCCGAACTTTTGTGTATTATTTTCAAATACAATGTAGAAAAATCTGTAATTTTTTAAATAAAAAAACAGCCTTAAGTTATCCCTAAACAACATTCAAGGAGAAGCACGTGCAACTTCTTGACTACAACGCAACGACAGTATACCTAATCGGTTTCATGTGCTACGCGATCGAGTCGGATCGATTTCTATTCGGCGTTCATCGCGCAAGCCGCTATAAAACGTGATCGATTTTCGGACGTTGTTGCAAGGGTGTGAGCGAGCGAACTAAAAGTACACTTTCAAATTCAAATCTCTAAACATCTATGTGTTGCAGATACCGAGAATTTGGGACTGGACAACGTTTGCATATTGAAAGACCTTCATCCTCTTCTTATCGTCACCTATAAATATCTTACTATGTCTGTGAGTATATCGCTTTTGTGTGCTACTTTAGCAGTGAAATTGTTAATAACCAAAACTTGATAATCCTTACTATCAACTTGTTGATAGTAAGGATTTGAAAATCCAAAATTGAATGAGTTAACAAATTTAAAATCTTATAAAAATTTATAAAAATTTTTATCTGCATTTTTATTTGTATATATTTAATGATTATTACTATTAATCGCAATTGATTGAAATTTCAAGTGATTTAATTATCGAAAAGAATAATCAGTAATATATCAAAAATATCTGTATTTCCAGTCGAAAATCATTCATAATCCATCAACGTCAAATCGATGTTAATTCAATATCGATCGACGTCGAATCAATGTTGATTCAAGATCCAATCATTTCTGGCGTGGATTCTTTTTATAATATAATGAAATATTCTAAATTTATTATTACAGACTATAAATAAAGCTTTATTACTATTTAAAACTAAAAAATTTTAGTAAAAAAGTACAAAGAAAACATAACAGAGTTAAAAAATGTAAATTCGGGAGCTTTTTTCTAGTTCTTGGTCTTGAATATTTTAGAGAGCAAATATATATTACAGATACACACAATTCGTGTACCTCACAATGAACGACTGATGGTGAGATGTCGAGAGATAGGTAAATACAAGTTTATTGGTGATTCCTTGTTGAACTGCCGCAATGGCACGTGGGATGGAAAGACACCTAGTTGCGTGTCTACCACGGCAATCTCCAATTATACCGGTACGTCGTAATATAATCGTATTTAAAATCTCTACATCGCAAATGCCTAATAGACACGATGGAAACAATAGACGTATATTCAAGAGGCTACTCCAATTACTCAAAATATTATGATTGATGGAAAGAAATATATGGAGAATATTATACGTATAGATATATTTTGATGTGTCCTGTTTGATGTGATTTTTTATATTACCGTATCAAAATACGTCGTCGACAATCTCTTTTAAATTTTGATCCTCGCGTTTTTCGAGGATAAACAGAAGATGTACCACCAACTATCGATTTCGGTCTACCTACTGGTTCGGCCGTAGTAGAGCCGACCGGTGCACTCGCCGTTTACCCAGGAAGTATCCTTCATCTGGAGTGTCTCTTTGCTAGGAAGTTGGGCAATCCCGAATGGACATGGACCTCAACGTTCCGTCGATATCTGACAGGTGAATCTGAAAAGTGCATCGAAATCTTGAATGTGTTTGTATCATTAAAACATACGGATTTCAATAAAAGTTTTTTCTTAATAATTTGCGAAATTTAAACGTTTGTTCTTAAATACAATTTATATTATATATTTACTTTTTATTTACTTATCCTAGGATGGGCGATCGCTGCACGGGAAAGGGATTTGAAGTATCGCCTCTCGATATATTATGCCAAACCGCCGGATTCCGGAATATATACGTGCACCACACCGAAAGGATTGAACAATTCTATACAAGTTCGTGTTGTAGGTACGGCCACTAAACAGAACACTGTTTTGTAAAATAACATGTTAGTTTTAGAACTTATGATAATTATCGCATACATTGATCGCATTCGTCAGCGAGATAATTCTATCATTACTGATTACTGATTTATATATCAATCAGAATTCTGATTATCTCAACTAAACTTGTAATAGATTGAACCAAGAAATTCTTATTTGTCTATTTTTAACCAAAATTTCAATTAATGGAACCGGACTCTTTTTTCAATTAGTGGCTTTAATTAACTTTTGCAGATGTTCAATGTCCGGTATTAAATGTCCCGGAGCCGCCGTTAATTAGTCGCATCGGAGGCAGCCGAATGGGAAATAGTGCTATTTTCGAGTGTCCAGTAGGCTACAGATTAGAAGGTGCTTCCAGAATCACGTGCCAGTATAACGGTACGAAGCAACGCTTGCTTGCCAGCGAGCACAGTTAAACATAAAATTAAGAAAATTGCTCTTGCAGGCAAATGGTCGACGGAGATGCCGCATTGCGAGAAGATCAAATGCTCGGAGATAATTATCAGAAATAATGCATTGTTGGTATTAAACGAGCACAATAGCACGTATGGCGAGAAAGCTATCTTCACCTGCATGTGGGGATACAAACTTTTGGGCTCGCAGAGTATGACGTGCGAAGGGGACGGCAAGTGGAACGGATCTATGCCGACTTGTCAAAGTAAAACAGTCATTTTAGAATTTGTTATTCTATTTTTAAAGAATTTTTAAACAGCAATTCTAAAAATATCTGAAAAACTTTTTCGACAAACTGCAACATGGTTTAAAAGTTTAAAATCAATCGAGTTGAATGCTCGGCTGAAATTATTTTTAGACTTAACTTTTCTTAACTGGAAGAGTGTAATGCTTAAAAAAATAGTTCTTGCAGAATCAGTTAGATATAATCAGTTATAATTAATGTTAACAAAAATAACATCGTAGTTAATAAAAGATGTTTATAGAGATCATTTGTCCTGTACCGGAAACGCCACAAAGTGGACGCATCGTAGAGCAACCGCGATATACTAACAAGAAACAGCCGAATCATGGCCGAACATACAAAGTCGGCGCCTTAGTGAGATTTGCCTGTCAACCAGGCCATCAATTGATAGGAGAAGCGGTTATCATATGCACCGAAAACGGTACTTGGTCTCACGATCCACCTGTATGTGAGTGTCCGTATAGTTAAATTTTATAATATTATAACGTTTGAAGTACAGTTGATAATTCTGCATTAAATAACATGAAAAAATTGCGCCACTTTAATTTTTTGTTTTGTAATTTTACATGAAAAAAACAGTTTTGAGTTAAAATATCTAAAAAAATTTAGTTGAATACACATCTGAAAATAATTATGTTGTACTACAATCTATAAATAATCATATTGAACGCTCAAACTGGCTGCTAAAATATCAAAATCTTTTATAGCATTAAAATGTTTAAATTCTTATATAATTATCTTAATCTGTAATTGGCCTAATTTTTTATGTACATACTTCAGCCTAACTATTTTTTCCGTGCATGAAAAAATAACACTAAAAAATTAATGTTATACTGTTTTCTTCATGTTTTTGGAATTGTTAAAAATTTCAAACAAAACAAATTATGTAATATTCTAGGTAAGGTAAGGTGTCCTTATCCAGGTGATCCACCTCATGGTCGAATTGCACCTCTCAAGTTTTGGTACAAACCAGGAGATAACATACAGGTGATTTTAATTCTTTTTTCTGCTTGGTTCATTAATTTATTATCATATATAATAAATATAATAAGATTGTCATATAAATGGTTAGATTTTCCAAAATTATTGTAATTTTGAAATGTATGAAACAGGTAACATGTTCGCCTGGCTATGTGACTCCTCTGGAACCAGTGAAAAAACCATCGTGTCGGGAAAATGGCATTTGGAGCGCACCACCGCCACCTTGTCGATCTTACAAAGAGGTGTGAGAGCGAACACGAGTTCTCTCATTTAATTCTCAAGAATCTCTCACGGACTACTGCGCCATTTTATCTTACATGACAAATTCGATATTTATTATACGGGTAGCAACGTGCATCAATATACGATAAGAGAAACATTGAAATATGAAGCACTCATTTTGTTTTGAAGTGTAGACTAATTACTTAAAGTTAATAATATTATTGGACGATGAATATAGTTACAGTTACAATTTACCGAATCGACAAATAATCACGAGTAGATTACACTGAAAAGAGCATTTTGCGTTAAACGTAGACTATGGAACGACCACAGTATTTTGTTAATTCTCTTCCAAACGTACAACGATTTTAATAAAATCCCCTTTTCTTAATATACTCTTAATAAACATTTTCCCACGATCATTTCTACTTATTTTTAACACTGAAGCACGCCGTTTTCTTCGGATACAGAATATAGATGTTAACGAGCATTTAAAAATATTAGTAACATATAGTTAATACAAAAACTACAAGTAATTTTTATTTATTACATAAATTTTTCATATAAATATTTACATAATTTTTTTAATTATGTAAATATATATATATATATATATATATATATATATATATAAATGGAATAAACTGTCCATTAAGATCTATGAGTGCTATGATTTGTATAGCATTTAATAACTGATTATAACATTTATATATTAGTCTGAAATATAAGTAGAAAAATAAAATAGTTTTAATTAATATAATTATTTTATTATTTAAGTTGCCTGCAAACTTCAAATAAAACAGCTTCTTTAAATTAATTGTACGTATGTATATGTATATACAAAGGTAGTTATGTGCGCGAAGATAGTTATATACTGCATACCTGTAGTTACTGTTCTCGTTATTCTCGTTGCCATAATAACCATGGCAATAACCATGATAATAACTAGAATTAGTATGCAGCGCGCAATTAATCGGATAATGACAGTTTCCTCGCTTGCCTGTAACGTGATGTTTAATATTCGATGCTGCAATCTATCGAAGACCAAGGAACATCATAGAAATGGGTCGTGCGAAAGCTCCTAAAGAGATACGTGTGGAGACATGGCTTATCAGGGATAAAATAAGTCGTTATCGTGGAATTCTGAAATTGCATGGTTAAGTATTGTTTAAAATTACAAATTTGAGTAGATGAATATTCGTTCTATTTCTAACAATTAAATAGAGAAAGGATTATCTTAGGATTATATCTTAACAGTTATATTTTACATTAAAAATAGATTATATCCGTGACAAAAATGTTTTTTTTTAATTCTTTATAAGTATAATTTTTCAGAATTACTATATAAATTTCAGATTTTTTTTTTAAATCGTGTATAATTTTATTTAACTTTTAATTAATAATTTTATTATAACTTTTTAGAAAATTTCTTTAATTTTTTAAATATAAATTGGAATACTTTTCAAAAATACTAAAAAAATGTTACACATTTTCTAGAATTTTTTATACACTCACGAGAAAACTCGAGAAACTATTCCTCACCGATTTTAATAAACAAAGAAAAAACAGTTGCCTAAAAAAATAGAACAATTTTTTAATTTCTTAATTTTGTCAATTTTTTTACTATGCCATTTTTTTTTTGAAGGATTATGTGTATGTGAGTAAATATATGAATTTGGAAATACTAAGATGTTTCATTCTATTAATTTAAAAAAAAAATTATAAAAAATTTAAAAAGGTTTAAGAGGCTACATTTTTCAAAAATTTTTATAATTTTAAAATATAAAAAATTAAAAATATAAAAAATTAAAAATATTATAAACTATTATGAGAACTTTTTTCACTAATATTAAATTAAATGATGATATTAGAGAATTAAATGAATCATTTTTGCAAATGAAACTTATTTATCTGATATTAATATTTTGATTGTCAACAGTACTTTTTTAGATACAGATAACATAAATTACATAGAATATTGTACAAGAATCCATTTTTGACATTTCTGAAATAAAGCTCATTTCAAAATAGCTTAGTAAAGAATAGATTCTAAACATATGTTTTGAATACTCAGCACGCGATAAGAAGCTACAGCTATCGCAAGCAACGAAATTGAAATCCATAGTATCCAAGAAAATCACGTCCCTAGATGTCGATGTTAAGAGACATTATGAAATTGTCAGTCATCTTCGTGATGGTGGTAAACAACCTATTCTCAGATTGCTAACTGATAAAAGAGTCTACTTGGCGGTCAATCACCTAAAACCATCCGTAAGAATAGACCAGCATTGGCTTCGAATTTTTTTAAAATAATTTGTATTTTTCGCGGACAGTTCTGAAATGCACTATAATATGAAAATTTGATATCTTAGGAAATTTATGCGGCAATACATCAAGATTGCAGTTCGAAACGACGACTCTTGGACAAGCTTTACTATGAGAAAAAAAAAAGATTGAAGCGAGGTATCGAATTACAGGTAGAACCTAATCTTTATACGTTATAATAAATCCTTAAGCAGTTAGAATAATAATTAGTGAAATATTTACATATTTAATATATACATATAGAGTAAAAGAGTAGGAAAATAATGTTTGTTTATTTAAAGTATATCTTCTACTTTTAAAGATATAAAAATATTTTAATACAAAAGTTATATATATTTAATATTATTATTAAAGTGTCATAATATAATGCTAATAATAACTTTTCTGTGGGTGGAGGAATAATTGATTCGTCTCATTATTCAATACATAAAGTATGATTGTTAAAAAATTAATATTTTACAAGATATCTTATATTTTATATTAAAATATGTGCTAAAATAAAATATAAATAAATATCTTACATACTATTAATTTTTTTAATAAGTCTACTTACTTTTACAGATTAATTAGCTAAATCACATTATGTAAAAAAAATTACATAATTCTATTTAAAAAAATGGAAGTGGCTTTGAAATCTCCAAAGTTCCTCCATCCACAGAAAAGTTATTATTATCATATTATGATCCTTTTGATACTATACAACTTATGTAATTAAAATATTTTCATGTTTCTAAAAATAGC